TTCTCTACACGCATTCAGCTTGCTTGCTCCGCCAGGCACATACAAGCTGTGGTCCAGCATCAGTCCTGTTCACACGTCTCTTGTGCTTGTCCGTTTCCACCTCGACGTATGCAGGTAGCTCAGTCTCTTGCCTCATTTGAGTATCTCCCCCGCTGTCACTTTATTTCCAGAGAAGTGTCTGATCATTTCGATTATCATCCCTGTCTATAATCACCACCCCAACTCAGTCACCTTTTTCTTCATAGTACTTGTTAACGGTGTGACACTGTGTCTGTTTTTCTCTTCCTCTCATAAGGGCGTGTGTTGGATGAGCAGCCAGTAAGTGAATGGCGTGGTCCAATGTCACTTGTTCACTGTGTGCCTGGATGCTCTCTCTTTTTCGTACCGCCTGGGTGCAGATGGCACACTAGGTGTCCTTCACACAGTGCCGAGACCAGTATCTGGCACACGTGCAGAAAGTCACTAAAAGAGACTTATTGAATCTGGGTTTATATTTTTCTCCATAGGGTCATACATCATAATATGATACATGTATGACATGATTCCTTATTTTTAAAATAAATTAATTTTGTTATTTTTCGTATTTATCCATGTTTATTCTTGTGGTTTTGTTAGAGAGATAGAAAATTATTTAAAAATGAACTATCATTTCTAATCTGTACACAGTTATCCTCTTATTTCATACTGTTTTTGAAAGCACTGAATACTGTAAGTGCTCTATTTTGGTGAGACAGCATGTTTTAAATGCAAAATTTTACAGATGAGAGTCACATATTTTGCCATTTGTCATTCAGAACAAAGACGAATTTCAGGATCTGTCATGCAAACGATCTATGAAAAATGACTCAACTCAGCACAAAGACCAAGGTTTGGAAGAGTCTGTCAAGGTCCCCTGGCAAACAGAAGAAGCATAAGCAATGACCATTCCGATCCTCCTGTACCAAACACTCCGGAGCCATCGCAGCTCTGGCACTCTGGCCATCGGCCTGTTACTGATGGGTGACTACTCTGAAAAGAGGTGTCAATTCCTTTTTGGAAGACACTGAATTCTAAGGTGGAAAACAGCTCACTGATACTGAAAGGTCGGTATGAAACAAGGAACCTGCTTCACCGCAGAGATGAGCAGCTACCTAGGAGGTAGAAGATACACAGACCAGAAGCAGTCTCCTACTGCCTTCGACGATGCTCTCAGCGCTCACCTATTGGATATGAATTTACTGTTGTGCAACGATGCTTTGTATTTGTAAAAACAAAACAAAACAAAAGTCTTGCTCTGAAAAAAAAAAGAAGAGGAGGTTGTTTCTAACGCTTATGCACTAGATCAACGGAGCTGGGACCACACACATGTCTGGGATTTGTCGCCCTTCAGAGCACCTCTTAACTCAGCAGCAGCAGGGAGCTTGGGTAGAGGAGATAATGCTTAGTGAGTTGAAGCTCATCTTTTATTCAGCACGTGTAACTTAAACTTTGTTCAACTGAATAATTTCGGTTCTCCAACAATCCAGAGTATTGACTGCTGCTTTTTAGTGTTGAGGCCCTGTTCATTCTGCAAAGGCAATTACGGTTTCTCAGCTTGGGTACAGACAGCCAAGCTATTGAAAAGACAAAAGGGGGTGCTGCTGGGGTAAAACCAAACAAACCGAAGACTCTTAGCCAGGGTGAGAAGCAAAGCAAAAGGGCAATATGGCCGTCATCAAAAATGGGAGGAAAAAAAATGATACAGTTCAATATATGTTACTCACTGGATAACTGTATTTGAATGATCTGTGCTGTTTTTAATCTCAGGGAAAGGGAAATAAACAGACTGTATTGATAGAAAGGACCACTGCTCCCACGGCTTCCTGCTCAAAGAGCCAGGTGCCTTCAGTTTCAATGCATGTCATTTAGTTCTCACATTCCCATAATGCTGGCTTAGCTCGATCATGGCATCTTCTCCAATTATCACAGAGTGAGAAGAAACAAGGCATTAACGATCTCTTTTTAAAGGGAGGACATTCTCAGGGAACAGTTAATTATTGCTTTCAGGGTTGTGCAGATAAAACAGTAATCTCCCTGGGGCCTGCTATTTACAAGTCTCAAAGGGGGGGTGATCACTATGGATGGACTCACTGAATTAACAGAGCTGGAAGGACACTCGAGGTCTCTTGTCCTTCTCAGTATTGTGTGACTTTTCTCTCATTGGGTGACCTATGGAAAGCTGGGGTCTGCCAGCCACCACTGTGCTTATAACCCGAAGCAGACTTAAAAATGACTTAGGATATGGGATTCCAGCCTTGCTCCTCCTAGAAGAACATGTATAAATAACTAATTGGATGTAGCCATTGTTGTGTGCACTTCTTATTCTCCTCATAAAAGCAAGCGAATTAAATTGTTTTAGGAGATTTTAACAGAGAATCTCAATTATATGTAATAAAAATTATATAAAACCTTCTACTTAATATCTACTCCCTCGGACTTTAAATGCTGTCTAGTGGAAGAGGACACCTGACTCAAAGAGAAAAACCTTGTGCTCTGATGATGCTTGAAACTAAATGTAAGCTGGATGTGGGAGAGAGGTGCTTGTGACGAGTCTAGAAAACATCAAGATACTTACATGTTTAAATGAACACCTGCAATAAATATTTCTCACAACCAGGCACTTAGGTATTTGTACATTTCCGCTGCTCAGCTCACACTGGTTGTTCCACAGCAATGGTGAGGTGGTAGCTGAAGGCGGTTCCACCATCCTCGCTCTGTGGCAAGTGCTCACTGCCTGTCTATCTCCGTATCTTTCATTACTGAAAAATAACTCTGTGAAATGCATAATGAATATGATAATACCCGTGTTTCCTTTTCACAGCAGTTCACAAGAAGCCACATGACATTGACTTGCTCAATGAGTATCAGCTTGCCTATGATTCCTGTCTCCTTGAGATTCTGGTGAATTAGGTTAGTGTGGGATATAATGATCCCTTCTAATCTTGAGAGGGAGTTATATATTGGAATTTGAAGGACCACTTCTTGAAGGCATTCCCAACCTTCACACACTCCTCTCTTGATGTCAGAATACTGGCAGGAAACAGATGGCATGCAATGTGGCTACTTAAAGAGTTTAAAAGGGACCATTTATAAATATGTGAGTTGAAACAGGGAAGACATTAAGGAATGAAGCAGGTATCTCTCAAGGATGGAGCAGCTAGAGTTACCAGTTCTCAGACAGGAGGGGCAAGCAGGTTTCCAGAAGATAAAGAGAGTGGCTGAGGAGAGAGAGGACTACATATTAAAAGATGTAGTCTTAGTCTCAACAATTCTCACTCATACAAACCCTCCTCTTTCTCGCCAATTGGATTCCTGGAGCTCCACCTGGGGCCTGGCCGTGGATGTCTGCATCCGGTTCCCTCAGTCATTGGATGAGGTTTCTAACACGACAATTAGGGTGTTTGGCCATCCCATCACCAGAGTAGGTCAGTTTGGGCTGTCTCTCGACCATTGCCAGCAGTCTGTTGTGTGGGTATCTTTGTGGATTTCTGTAGACCTCTCTAGCACTTTGCTTCTTCCTATTCACATGTGGTCTTCATTTATCATGGTCTTTTATTCCTTGTTCTCCCTCTTGAGACCAAGATTGGAAAAAGCACGGGGACAAATAGCCAAACGAATGGAAACACATGAACTATGAACCAATAGCTGAGGAGCCCCCAACTGAATCAGGCCCTCTGGATAAGTGAGACAGTTGATTACCTTGATCTGTTTGGGAGGCATCCAGGTAGTGGGACCAGGACCTCTCCTCAGTGCATGAGCTGGCTGTTTGGAACCTGGGGCTTATACAGGGACATTTGGCTCAGCCTGGGAGGAGGGAACTGGACCTGCCTGGACTGAATCTACCAGGTTGAACTCAATCCCCAGGGGAGTCTTTGCCCTGGAGGAGATGGTAATGGGGGGTGGGCTGGGAGGAAGGCGGGGGGGGGGGGGGGGAAACAAGGGAATCTGTGGCTAATATTTAAAATTAAATTAAATTATAAAATAAAATAAGATGCAGCCTTTATTTAAATGACAGAGTCCATCATAATGACCATTTGGTGGGAAGGGACCTGTAGAATCAATGCTCAACCTTTGCCCTCCCCTTAAATGCTCTTAGTGTCTCCAACTGTCATGGATTGAAGCTAAATGAGCATTCAGAAGAAAGAGAAGCCATTAGCTCTTTCTGTATGACAGTCCCCAGGCTACAGAGCAGGACCACAAAAGTGAAACTGAAGGTCCAGAGATGGACAGGGGCATTCATCTACCTCGTCTCGACTGAGGAATGGAGTTGAATGAAAATCACCTTTCAATATGGAAATAACACAGTGAGTGTTTGTCATCAGCAGAGATAGAAAGTGATTCGTACTTAAACCATCTATAGAAGTCAGGACACATTCAAGGAGATGCTGACTCACGTGGCATAAGGTAAGAGAAATAGTTATTTTATTTTGCACAGGAACAAGCTTATACTGAACAAATTCAACCAAATAATATTGAGTGCAGTAAAACAAGGAACTGGGGGGTGACTTCCTGTTAGAAAATGTTACGCAACCATGCCTGCGCGTTATTTTTATCATTACAATAGCTTGTTTCAGATTTCAGAGTGCACTGTACAGATGCATCAGTTTCTTGGCTTCTGGAATACAACTCACTTGCTGCCTCCCCTTTGACTCTTGCAGTTAGGAACCACGCCGATTCAGGAAGATTCTGAGCTAGAAGACCATGTCCTGCACCCATAAAGCTAGTGGTTTTCACAGACTTGACAGGCTCAGGCATCTTATCCAGGGGTCAGGATGTCATGGCCCGTGTTCCACACCCATTCTTCTACAAGGTGATGCCAGGTACAGTAAAGACAGAATTGTCATTTACTTTCCTCAGAGGTTTTCCTCAAGTTCCACAAATCTCATAATTGACATCCATCTACCCAGCCATTAACAAAGCTGCATTTGGCTGACCACAAATCACTTTTTTTTGGTCTTTTTAATGAAGGAACATTCTTTAAACAGATCTCTCCCTGGAGGCAGTTAACTTCACAGCTCCTGAAGGCACTGTGGATCCACTGAGCAGCAGACATGGCCGTTCTAGAGAAAACAGTAGAACAGAAAGCAGAGGGTGAGTTTTCAAATCATTCATCAAGTCTCACACTTATTGATTAGCACACGCTAGCAGGTGTGTACAGTATGGTGTTGTTTCTGAAGTCCTGAAAACTGAATAATTAAATTATTCTTAAGAGTATTACTACAGAACCCATCTGTTGTGGAATATTATTTTAAGATGTGTTACAGTTCTTTATGCTGTGGAACATTTGTTTAATGATGCAAAGATGTGTTGCCTTCTTTTTTGTTGCATTTGTTTAACTCTGTGAAGCTGTGCTACTTTGTTAGACCATCAGGTATTTTAGATAGGCAAAGAGCTGAATGGTCAACAGCAAGGCGGGAGAAAGGGTAGGCGGGGCTGGCAGGCAGAAAGAATAAATAGGAGGAGAAGAACATTAAAGGAAAGAGGAGCAAGAAGGGAGATCAAGGAGTAAGAAGGGAGATCAAGGAGCAAGAGAAGGAGGAGGACTCCAGGGGCCAGCCACCCAGCTACACAGTAAGACATGGAGTAAGAAGGAAAGAAAGGTAAATAGAATAAAGATAAAAGCCCAGAGGTAAAAGGTAGACAGATAATTTAAGTTAAGAAAAGCTGGCTATAAATAAGCCAAGCTAAGGCTGGACATTTGTAAGAAAGAATAAGCCTCTGTATGTGATAATTTGGGAGCTGAGTGGTGCCCCCGCAAAGAGCCAAAAGAGCAAAGAGTGAAAAAAACAAAAACAACTACCACCATCATTATTCTCATTTACATGATCGACCATCTCTTTTATAACACATGGGCATTTTCTTGTTTTACATTTGTTCCTTTATTCACAAATAAGTGTTGCATAAACTTAGATATGTAATGCAGACCTACTCACTGACTACAGGACTTAGAGTTTATTGGAAGGAAACAGTAAATACCAGAAATATGTAATAAAAAATTTATGGAAAGTGCTAGAAAAGTGTTTGGAGAAAATGTTTGCATCTCCACAAAATCCAAAGAATTTTCATTCTTATCTTTGGTACAATAGTATGAGGAGATGAAGCATTGGGGGAAGTTAATTAGGGTATGAGGGTCGTGCTCCCTCTGCCATAATCTGAGTATTCAGGAGCTATATACAGGAGGATTAGGAGTTCAAGGTCAGCCTCAGCTCATGGTGCATAGCAAGATGAAGGCCAGCCTAGGCTATGTGAGATACTGGAGGAAGAAGTAACCATGCTCTCTTTCTCTCGCTGTCTCTCTCTGTCTGTCTCTCTGTCTCTGTCTCTCTCTCTCTCCCTCCCTCTCTTCTTGCTTGCTATTGTGTTAGGACACAATAAGAAGAGTGCCCAGAAGAACAGGAAGAATGGCTTGCCAGACTCTAGCTCTGCTAACACCTTGATCTGGGATTTTGAAAATGACTTTTTTAGTCCCCAGAGCTATGAGGAATACACTTCTGCCATCTAAGGTGTCCAGGTGAAGGCGTTCTGTTTCAGCTTCAGGGGATAAAAGGAAACATGTTGGGCAATGATGAGGTAAGGAAAGACATCTCCTCAGGCTGGTTCCCAAGTAGACCTCCTGGAGATGTGACAATTAAGCCAAGATCAGAAGACAGTAGCAGGAAAGCAGGCCTCCCACATGTGGGGCTGCAGGAGGGCTTTGCTGTGACAGATACACTCACCAAATCTTGGAAATCTACATTAAATAAGAAAGAAATGAAAAATGATCTAAGTGGGGAATTTAAGTTGGAGACACTTATGAAACAGTGTGAAGTTGAAATAGTAGGGGAAAGCAGGACAGGGACAGGTGTGCAAAATGACTTATTACACTGAGGTATTCAAATAGTACAGCTGCAGAAGTAAAACTCCTCCCTCCTTTGGTCCCTCCAACTGTCTCTTTCTGTTGGTAACTAATGATAACTGGTGTGATTGCCATGGTGATCACAGGAAGGAAAAATCCTTACACATCGGGATGGTGCACTCTGTCAGACATTTTGCCGTGTGTCCTAAACACATTCCCTAACTTCACCTTCTCACCATCACAGCGGAATCACCATTGACAGTCACATGTCTCAGTTCAGAAACTGGAGATTGGAAAGGTTAGACTCCTGTCCAAAATCACACAGCTAATAGATAACAGAGCTGGGATCAAAGCAGGCTAAGCTGTGTCTAATATGCATCTCTCTAGGTTTTCTCTCAGACAATGACTTTAGGCAGTGGAAAGGGTATTATACATTAATGCGACAAAATCAAAAGTGTTACAGATAATTTTTCAGAAGGTATTTTACTATTCTAGCCTTTGCAGAAACATTCAAATGAGGAAGCAAGCTCGTCCATAATGAAGCAGAGTGCCACCCGTCAAAGCCAATACGCATCCTTGCTCGGGAATTTTTCAGAATACTTGTTCCGGCCCCAAGACAGAGAGCCACCCCTTTTTAGCACCTACAACTCAGACATCATGCTCAGAGATGGGGGTTTTCTATCCATACCCTTGTTGCTAGGTTACACATCAGTTTCTCAAACTGTAATGGTTTTGAGACAGAATGGTGAAGAATTTGTGGCAGCACCTCTCACTGTATGCACCTGGCATCAGAGTGCCGTGAGGAAACTCATCACCATTGTTCCCATGCACACTTCCAGAAAGAACATATTTCCCAACATGCTTTTGGCATGTTTTTTTAGTCCCTGTCTGTATGTTCCCCTGCTGTAGGGAAAATGTGCTACACACTGTATCGTCAGAGCTTCTCAACTGGGAAAGCATTAGAGTTCATGCTCTAAAGCCCAGTGACGCACCCCATGATGTTCCAGATTCGGCAATGGCAGAATTTATTCTATCAATTAACATCTGTGATGACTGGTCTGGACAAAATATAAAGATAACCGGAAGCCATGAAGAGTGGCAGGCAGGCACTAGTGGGGGGGGGGTCAACCTTAAAGGAATGGGAATCTACCTTTTACTTGAGACTGACTCCAAGGTACTCCCTAGTCTGGCAGCTGCACATGACTGTACCTCAAGCAGAAATTTGGAGAAGTCAGAGGACAGTCTCCCAGGAAAAGTAAGCATAAATAATTTGAGGAATTGCTACAGCAAGGGACTGTTACGTAGCAGCACAGAGGATTTACTTGAGACCCTGCTGCTTCTCTGCCGTGGTTACTGCTGAGTGGTCACTGCTGTCCTTTTCATACTAAACTCGAAGTTGAGATCAACTCTACTGTGCACAGAGCTGGTTCATACTTTAGACTCTGTCTTTAGGTTAGGTCCCCAGACCTGGGATGGAGCTGATGGGGTGATATGAGGCTGACAGGCTTTGTTCATGGACATCAGCAGCTCACAAGATTAACAACTGGGCATTTCTGTTGGCCTCGGAGAGTATTAAAAAAACAATGAGAGTTTACATTTAAATTATTTAAACATTGAATGATTTCTTCTTTTATGTTAATAGCTGTAAGTTTTAGAGAACTGTTTATTCATTCTGATTTATTAGTGGGGAAATGAGTGTTTTCTCATTGGTTTTTATATATTTCTAATCTAACAAAAATTCAAATATGTTGAAAACATTTTCCCAGTTGTGATCTTTCATTTTGCTATTTTGTTTTTCTATATAAGCTCAAATTTTTCTTTTGAGTTATATTTTTATTATTTCTAAGTTAAAGATGCATCTCTTGTCTAGAAAATTGATAAATATTTAATTATAGTACCATTGTTTTTGAGTTACTTTTAATAATTCTTTTTCCATGGAATTTACTATGATATTTAAAATTATTTTCCTCAAATTGTCATCTAGTCATCCTAACATTCTTCTGGTTAGCTTCAGCTGTCAACACAATGCAGCTGGGCCATTGTGGTCAGTGCCACCTCTGGGCAGGTTGTCCTTGGGTGTGTAAGAGAGCTGACTGTGGATTAGCCAGAGCCAGCTAAAAAGCAGCATTCCTCCAAGGGCTCTGCCTGAGTTCCTACCTGACTTTCCTCAAAGACAGACTGTGAGCTGGAAGTGTGAGCTGAATAAACCCTTTCCTCCCCAGGCTGCTTTGGTCAATGGTGTTTATCCCAGCAACAGAGAGCAAATGAGGACAGCTGTTTATCGATTCTATTTCTCCTCCACACCAATTTTCAGAGGTCTCCTGATGGAGTTTGTGACCATGCTATTGTCCGTGGGATTTCCTTTCTGTCTATCACATGGTAGCACAGGGGGTTACTGTCACTCCTTCAAGTTTTAAGTTTCTGTTTGATGAAGGTGATGTTTAGAAATTCAGGGGCTTCATTCTTCTACAACCCGCCCTCAATTACTCGGCCTCCTTAAGTGAAAGAGCCCTACTTCCCAATCCCAAAGGTCTCTGCCAAGTGAAGATTTGTTCAAGCGAAGAGTCTTTAGTGAGAGCTCATCCCATTGCTTAAAACTCGGGCTTCTCTGACTAATCATAAAGCTCCTTGTCTATAAGATTTAGGAAAAGATAATTCACTTCTAATTTCAGAGTTTAACTTCTAAGTAGAGGATACATCTTGGTTCTTTAGAAAATTAAATTTGATCATGACTCCAGAAAGATAAAAGGAGAGGAAAGGGGAGACAGCTTTGTGAGTAAGAGTCATTGCTTTACAAGCATGAGGACCTGAATTTTAAGTCCCCATCACCGCACAAGAAGCTGGGCTTGGCCACATGCACCTATAACTCAGGACTGCTGTGTGTGGCAGGGTAGAGACAGGAGGATCCTGGGGCCTGCTGTCCACCAGCCTAGCTCAAGATTCAGTGCAAGATCCTGTCTCAATAGTCTAAATTAGAGGGTGGTAGAGCAGAAACCCAGCGTCCTCCTTTAGCTTCTGCATATACACAGGCATGCACACCTGCACACACATGTGCCTATAACACATGCACAATAATTTAAAAAGGCAAAAGGGAATACATTACCGCTTCCCTCAAGTATTGCCCAGATCTGTCTTACTAAGGAAATACTGATTCCTTAGTATGTAACAGGTTGACAAGTTGTCCAGCTTCTTGCCTCCACACAGTTTTCCTGTCTCCATCACAGTTATAGCAATGTCTTTATTCTGGCACACTTGTATTAAGGCTTATCTACTTTATACCACAACAGCCAACATTTATTTCCTTACACTGAAAGTGCTGAGTAGCCCATTTTCTGTGTGAATCTTCTCACTTAATTCTTATAGTAACCCTCTCAATGATACAGTTCAAGTAGTTACTACCACAGTTTATTGTTTTCATCTTTAGGTGAGCCGAGCCACAAAGAAACTAAGGCAGGTCCCCTGCTGTCACATAATCAACACAGTTGATGGATTCTTTGCTACCAAGAAGCCTGACTTCTCAGGCTGAGTTTTGACCTCTAGGGCAGCTTTGCCCCAGACAACCTTGTGTAGTGATAAAAATGTTTTCTGCGTGTGCTGAGCATGTAACTGGGTTAGAAGGGTGCTTGTCTAGCATGTATGAAGCTGTTATTTGTGCCCAACACTACATAGACCAGGTGTGGTGATCCATGGTCGTCAACCAGTCAGCAGGAGGGAGAGACAAAAGAACCAGAAGTTCAAGGTCATTCTCTCTGCTACAAATCAAGTTTGATAGCAGCTTGAGATGTAAGAGATCCCATTTCCAAGGAAAAAATACTGTTGTCCACATATGCCATCTAATATGACAGTCAACAGCCATGGGAGGCTATTGGAGAATGAAAATTTGGCTAGTGTGATAAGGAACTGAATTATAAGCTAATTCATATTAAAGCTCTAGACAGACAATAAGCTACTACACACATACTTCCGGGAATGACTTTGTCTGTATGTCACCACCTCTGGGCTAAGCGCAAGCCCTTATCATTTTTAAGCCCTTAGGTTATTGAGTTGACTTCTATGTTAATCCTAAAAGTATGTATAATAAGTACAGATGATGTTACAGAAATGACAACTAAATGGAGCTCTTTCAACTTGGTTGGTATTTATTGACTAGAATAAACAACTTCCCACAAGGGGGAGAAGTGGGGAATGGACAGAACTGGTGCTCAAAATCCATCAACTGTGGAGAGTGCTTGCTTCCCACACTCTGTCCCAAGCTTATTCCCTTGAACTTCATTTTTAAAATAACACAGAATTAAACAATACAAATGGATATTTTGGATAAATCTGGTAAAGATGAACATAATCTTATAATCCATATAACCAGTACTTACCAGGAAAATAGGAATTCAGCAACAGAACAGACTTTCTGGAAGACATTCTTACCAAGTAAGAGGAGTGCAGTATCATTTAGAAGTCACTGAGGACAGGAAATAACCCTTAAAAGCATGGTTGTTTCCTGCAGAATCCTGTCTGAGCTCTATTTGATGTATCCTGCATTCTACCGCCTGTTATGTATTTTGGTTGTCAGTGTGCAGAACAGCAATGTAACAATTCAAAGGAGGAGGAAGACTCAGGTTGATTTGGTAGTCAGATGCCAAAAAACATCTGCTGGACACCAGTGCTGTAATTTAGATATGTACATGGCTGAATATATCATATCAAATACAAAGTCACACACTACCTATACATTACTAGTAACATACTAGAAGCGTCCTTCAAATTTGCTGGTGCACTTTCAGAAAACAGTAGCCAATGTTCACTCAAAATCTGGATTGACAACTGCATTCATTGAGAGAACTAGAAATGTGGCTTTGAAGATGTAACAGACGTCTCAAAGTTTCAAGTGTTTTAGGTTTCTTTGTCCTGTTACATCAAGCCCTTCTAGTGAGAAATTATACTAAGTGAACATGAATGAAGGTGCTCTATTGATAAAAAAAGGAAGGGCTCACTTAAAAGCCAGAGCAGACACAGTTAAGCAGTGTTGAGCAGTCTGACATCTTTATCTGGTTTTTTAGTGTTGTTAAGGCCATAGCATTATTGGTTTTGTTTTGGTGTTAGTCTCCAAATTATGATTATGAGGTACGAAGTGACCTCCCTAAGTTTGATTTTGTATGGACATGAATCAAGCTGCTTTCTTGAACCTGGTCAGTGATCTGTGCTGCTTACTTAGTGTATATTACATGAGATCACTGAAGTAAGTGGCATAACACTGTTTCCCTATGAGAATAAAGCACAAAATCTTTATAATGATTTTCACCAACTGTAGGAATAAAATATAATGAGCATCAGACTCTGACTTCTTCAATTTAGTGTAGCTGACCACAACAACCAAGAGATACGCCCACTTTTGCCAGATTGATTTTCACTTTGGAAATGTAAGGTATCTACTTTGTCAATGTATTTTATGGAACTCATAAAAGAAGCAGATAAAAATCAATGAAGTAATATTGTCTTCCATCATAAAAGGAGCAATGAAATCTGTATGGCTGGCTACATTAGAACACTGAGTTGTTGCTACTGATCATGCTGGCAGCAACATATACAAGCTCCTGTACCCTGAAGACCTGTCCTGGACGCACAAGGCCATCATCAGTGCGGTGCTGATAAAGCTGAGCGTTCACCTCGGTCTGAACAACAAACAAGCTAAGGCTAGCTCTCCATCACCCAGTTGAAGCCCTGGGCACAGCTAGCAGAGGACTCGCTCCTCCACCCGAGGGCATTACCTTGCACTGGCAGAGAGTACACTCTGTGCCATGCTTGATCCAGGAAGATCCAGTGAAGCGAACCACGTTCATCTCGTCCAGGCAAGTTTTGGTGATATCGTTGCGGACGGTGTCGGCCTGGCAGGGATCTGTGACACAACGTGGGCAACACTCGTTCTCTGGAAGGACGCTAAATTCACACTCCACCTCGGGGCAAGGCAGGGGCCAACAGTCGACTTCTCCTTGCTGTGAGGGGAAGGGGCAGAGGGAGTGGATCAGAGAGAAGAGAGGCAAAAAAGGAAGGACAGGAGAGTGATTTTTATACTTAGGTCTTTTATACCACACATCTTCAGGGCAGCTCTAGAAGCCCCACTGGATGATGGCATCTCTTTTGCAATGGATGTTTAAACGGTCTTGGAGTACTACAGAAGAACAACATTAAAACAAAAGCAACAACCATTTCTCCCAAAATAGTAAAGTGTGAACTGCTCCATTTTCTTAAGGACAAAGGGGATGTGGGAGAGGTTTCTATGAAGTCTCTCACCCTCAGCTAGTCTTAATTTCCCCTCTAACTTATTTATTAATCTTTGAAAAGGTTTATCCCTTTACCAAAAAGTGAAATCTGGACAGAATTTGACAATCTCTTGGCTAAGTTACACATTTTTCAGTGTAAGGAATTTGAGCGTACCACCCCCCAAGAGAACAGCACGGAATAAGACCACACAGAATTTGATTCCCCAACTCTTACTTCACATGGGAAACTGTGTGAATTGGTCCTTAAGCAATTACCACCTGTTTGTTGTCTGCTTCTTGGTTTTAAATCTCCAGGTTTTGAGATGAATGCAGCCTCTAGGTGCAGAAACTGACCTTGTTCTTGCGATTGATTTTTGGGTTGAAAGGACAAAAAGACAGACAACACCGAAGCGTGGCCCTAAAAATATCTCCGCACAAGCAGGAAGGAAACTGGCCGTGACTTCAAAGGTGTCTTTCCTGTGACACTTCTACTGCAGAGACACATGCTGCATCTTTCCTTTTTAATTTACATGATCGGGAACAAACAAGATATGGAGTCAACTGAAAAAACGTTGCTGTTTTCTCTCTATCTCTTTTTCTCTTTACCCATTATTTTCAAGAAAAGTGTCACAAATGCATACAGCTGTCCTCTTCCAATGTGTATTTATCATGTAGTCACAGTGTGTGGAACAAGGCAACCGCAGAGCAGTGCTGACAGGAACAATCTTTAGAAAAAAAGTATTTCCTTTTCCTTTCTTTTCCATTTTTCCAGCAAGCGCATGTGCACATGTGTGTATGTCTGCATGCATTTTGCATGTGTGTGAATGTATGTGCATGGAGATGACAATTCATACAAAGATGCCTAAGACTGCTGGCATGAATCATTCTTGCTTGACCTCCCTCCGTATCCATTGAGTCAGAGTCTCTGTCAGACCCAGAGCTCGTCAATATGACTAATCTTGCTGGCAAG